ACTCGGAGTGAATGACCGGCCCGGTGCATACCAAATCGCTAGCATAAATTAACAAACGAAGGGCTGGATGTGCCAAAGTGTGGGGCGTCATCAATGTCCCTGCATGTCAAGAATGAGAGAGGGATACCATTTCCCATGAAAGCATGTGGTTTTTTTTTTTTCCTGAAATATTTGCCTCAGAGAAACACTTTACCTAGAGGTACACTTAAAAAAAATAATAATAGCACAAGTAAGTATCTCTACGTTGTCAACTTTGGCAGCTTTGCTAAGCTTCAGCGATGGACGAGGGACAAAGCCCAGCTGTCTGCATAGCTAACTGTCTATAACTCTTAAGTGAGGTAAACTAGGCAAACGATGTGCTGGGTAGTTAGAGTAAAGGGGAAGGAAGGTGATGCGGCTTCATCAGCATGACTTTTAAAGATGTTTGTGGTGGGACTTTCTTGTTGATGCTATCTACAGCCATCTGTTTGGCTACAAAGAGACAACACTGAGCTAGAGACAACACTAAGCTGGCTGGAGGACTGCTGGCTCATCAGTGATATCTTCGCTGTCATAAAACTACGTACCTACTGACTTCCGAACACCTATGTCAGCCTGCATGGACGGCAGTTTATTAACACGGTGTTTAGTATGTGTTTTCACATACAATGATATCAGCAAAAGTTCTGGGCCTGTCGGACCATGTCAGCCTTTCCTCTTCCAGACTGTGGCGGTGCCTTTGCAATGCACAGGGGATTAACAGTCCATATACCGGAAGCCCTAGCTTCTGGATCTACAGTTCTGGCCTTCGTGTGCATCCCTTCTTATTCCCCCACGCAGAGAGACACAGGCAAGGCCCACGGATGCATACCCAGCACTGAACGTCTCCGTTCCCCTTCACCGAGTTAAAGGCGTTTGGTCATGCAAAGTCCTGCCTGCACTTGGTGGCTTCACGTGATGAGAAGAACCCAGGTGAGCCGTGCACACATAGCTCCCGATTCTCCTTTTCCCTTCCAAGCGCGGCTCTAAAAGCCAAGCTCTTAGCTCTGACATCCACCAACTTCTCTTCTGCTAGCCAGGATTGATACTTTCTATCTTTTTTTTTAAATATTTATTTATTTATTTATTTATTTATTTATTTATTTATTTATTATGTATACAATATTCTGTCTGTGTGTCTGCCTGCTGGCCAGAAGAGGGCACCAGACCTCATTACAGATGGTTGTGAGCCACCATGTGGTTGCTGGGAATTGAACTCAGGACCTTTGGAAGAGCAGGCAATGCTCTTAACCCCTGAGCCATCTCTCCAGCCCGATACTTTCTATCTTTATGAGTTAAGAGGATGGAGGAAGAGCATTTACAACAAGAGCATTGACTGGGTGAAAGCTACTGTTTTTGCTTCAAGACTATCATTCTTAAATTTAAATTTAATTTACTATTTTCATACAGGCATACGTTTTATGTTAAGCATACTCCCCCACCCCAAACCCTCTCTCTCATCATCCGTCCCCGTTGTCCCTGTGGACAATTTTACTTCTGCCATCATTTTATATACACATACTATGTTTACATACTTGGTTGTTTGTGACTATCTAAAATCTAGGACCCTGAAATGAGAGAACATGTGTATCCCTCTCTGAGACTGGCTTAATCTGCAGAATATGATGATCTAAAGTTCTATCCATTTTCTTGTAAATGACATAATGTAAACAAAATGTAAACTTCATTTTTCCTGGTGGCTAAAAACCATGCCATTGTGTCTATTTGCCACATTTTCCTTAGCCACCTCTCTCAGGTGTTGGCACCTGCATTGCTTCTAGTACATGACAATCGTGAAAAATCTGTTGCAAAACAACACGGATGTGCAACTATCCCTGTGTTACACTGACCTAGAATCTGTGGATGGATACCCAGAGGGGGTAGAACTGGGTCATATGCCAAATCCAGTTCTGCTTTTTAAGAATCCTCCTTACTGGTGTTCACAGAGTGGACCAGTCCACCTGCCCATTAGTGTGTAAGTGTTCCTTTCTGTCTGCATACCACAGCATTAGAAACCTCCTTACTGGTGTTCACAAAGTGGACCAGCCCACCTGCCCACCAGCGGCGTGTAAGTGTTCCTTTTTGACTGCATCTTCATCAGCATTTGTTGTTGCATTCTTTTCTCTTTTTGTTTTTTCTCTATTTTTAATTTTATCATTAAAACATTTTTATTATTAAATGTTTTACTATTAAACATTTTAAATAAAAGTTTTCATTATTAAAAAGCTTTATTTTATTTTAATTATGGGTGTATATGTGTCTATGTCGGGATGTGTGCGTGTAAATGCAGATGCCTGTGGAGGTCAGAGGAAGGTATTGCGTCTCCCGGAGCTGGAGTTATAGGTGGATACAGATGTAGGTGTTGGGAGCCAGACTTGTGTCTTCTGCAACAGCAAAATAAGTTCTCAACCCCTGAGTTATCTGCAGCCTTTGTTGTGTCTTTTTTTATTTTAAAAATTTTAATGAAATTTGTTTCATACAATATATTTTGATCATGTTTAACCCTCCCTCAACTCCACCCATCTACCCACTCATTTTTTTTTAAAGATTTTATTTATTTATTATGTATACAGTATTCTCAGTATTCTGTCTGAATGTATGCTTGCAGGCCAGAAGAGGGCACCAGATCTCATTACAGATGGTTGGGAGCCACCATGTGGTTGCTGGGAATTGAACTCAGGACCTTTGGAAGAGCAGGCAGTGCTCTTAACCACTGAGCCATCTCTCCAGCCCCTACCCACTCATTTTTGTATACCCCGTCTGTGTGTGTGTGTGTGTACTCATAAGCTTGTGTGTGTGCTTTATTCATATGCTGTGTGTATGTGTACTCATATGCTTGTGTGTGTGCGTTATTCATATGCTTGTGTGTGTGTGTATGTGTACTCATATGCTTGTGTATGTGTCTGTGTGTGTGCTCATATGTGTGAAGGTCAGAGGACATTATGGTGGAGCTGGTTTTCCCACCATGTGGGGGCTGGGGATTGGATTGGTGGCAAATGTTTTCCCCCACTGAACCATCTCATGGAATTCAAGTCTTAACCTTTAATTCTGTCATTCAGTCAGAAGAGACAAAGAGGGTGGAAGAGTTTTTAAAGAGTCACCTTTATTTGTGGAATTCTGTGGTTCTATGACCAAGGTATTTGACTGAGCTTGCCGAGAGATAAATATCCATAAGAAGCAGCATTTCAGAATGGTTCTTTTCTCTCCCTCTTCCCTTAGTTTGATTTTCTCCCCATCAATTATCTTTTGACAAACTGCCCTTGAAACAGAATTAACATTTACCTCAAGAAGAAAGAGGAGTTCTTTTGAATGAGCTAAGTCATCCGTGGGGAAGCTCTATTAAAAGTCCTTGGGGAGGTGAATTATTAATTGATTCAGTTTGTGGTCTAAAACTGAGGTATGTGTTGAGGAAGAAAAGGAGCATTGTGCCTTGTGATAGTTAAAAGAGGAAACGATACATAATTCCTATCTTAGAAATACGATGACACAGAGGGCGAAATTTTGCAATTAAATTGTGCAGGGGAAGGAGAATAAGACAGTTGTAGTTAAGCAAGCAGTTCCGATGTTTCAAATTTGCTAAAAGTAATCATTACAGGTATGTATATCTACCACAACAGATGCTGCTATTATGTATAAGAAGCTCCTCTTAAGTGTTTCACTTGGTTATTTTTCAAAACTTTATCATTTATTATGTATGGGTCATGACTAAGACAGCCATGTTGTTAGCTTTTTTTGAAGGCTAAGCTGCAACCATAGACGTGCACTTGATAGTGCACAGAGAAGCTAAAAGAGGAGTCTGTATATAAACTGAACAGATTCTCTAAATGACAAAAGACTTTCTATATAAATTAATGTTTGGATTCCTCACCCCACCTGACAACCAATTGGTTACATCCAACTCTTTCTAGCAATAAGAACACAATTGTTCTTTAAACTACAGCACCATCAAAAAGAAACAGATAAAGCTCTAGCATGGAAAATTCGGGAAGGCTATCCTATTGAAGAAATGATCAATGTCATACAACTTGGTTATGACAGACCGTTCCACCTCCCATGGTGGATCATGTGGGGCACCGAAGATTCAAATTACTCCTCAAATTGGACCCCGACTTCAGGGTTTATAAAGGACGTATTTTCAAAAGGGGTCATTGCCGAAACAATCCCTTTAATCAGCAGTCAGAGGATTTACCCAACTGATGTGCCAAGCATCCTTCTCAGGGACCACGATGACACAGAACTCCCGTCACTCAGCAGAGGAAGAGGATCAAATGAGTTTGTAAATGCAGATTTTTGGTTTATACAACTCTTTTTCATCTTCTGGAAAGTGATCACTGGACTTAATCAAGTTCCTCTGGGTATCATTAACTAATTTTATCTTTCTCCTTAAAGATTTTTTTTTTTTTAAAAAATAGCGAGTTTAGAGGACTCCATTCTTAAGTTTTCTGACTTTTGTGTTTTCTCTGCTGAAGCCTTGAGGGAAGCTAAATTTAAAAGGAGGGAAATAGTAATTAAAAGTGATTAGGACAAGAAGTGTCGGCGCAATGCGGACTTAGTTCCCCTGGTCCCAAGCCGAACCGAGCATCGGTTTTTGGTTTTCATTATAACTTTACTCGCTATTTTAATAAACATGAGCCAGTATTCAAACTTTTAATACCCTGCCGTTTAACTGTTTCCAGAGAGCCATCCAGCTCTTTTTTTTTTTTTTAAAAAGCCTTCGCTTTAAAAATTTTAATTTGTTTGGCTCAGTCTCACCTTAGAAAGTTGTAGCCTCATGGTAAACTCTTTTATAACTTGATTTCCAGAATCACAGCCGTTCTTCCCCCAGCCCCACCTCCTAAGTGTTTCCTCTTGTGCCGCACTTGTTGGTGCTGACAGCTCCCCCAACTTGTTTCATCTGGTTCCCACAGCGAGTATGGGAGACAAATGCCGGAATGTGTTCGGTATTGACTGGATGCCGCCCGACAGCAGCCAGCGGTACTTACAGCTCTTCTAGAAAGCGGAGGCTGTGGAGGAGACTCGGGGGCAGCTGACTGATGTTGTTCATACTGAGGTCCCTGGAGGGGGAAGACAGATAGCGTGTGAGGAGCAGGGTTTGCCACTGCAAGGAGATCCAGCTGTTCGGTTCACACATTTAAAAGCGAGACAATAAAATGAACTCATTCCTCCGTTTGGCAAATGAATGGTCATTTTCCATCTTAAATCTATAACCGGCCAACGTCAGGGCCTCCGTCTCGAATTAAATACTCTAAGAGGTGCTTTCACGCAACTCAAGATTACTTAGCCCATTCATGGGCATAGCTGTCATTCTTCACGTTTAAAATGATGTCGAGGAGGACAGAAAAGGAAGCAGACGTAACTCAACTTTGCGTCTTGCTTTCTGCTGTGTGACAAAGAGCAACGTCCTCACCTGGCAACTCTAGAAGCCCCGTTTCTCTGGGATTTTTAGGCACCTTGCAAAAACACATGTTTGGATTCAAAGGGACTTAAAACAAAGCAAGACAAAAAGCCTAGTCCCTCTTCGAACTTGCTCCTTTTGCAGCTTCTCAGACTGCATTAAGTAAGTGAAATGAACCATAAAACGAGGGTGTAAGGTGATCCTGTTCTGTCGCGCACTTCCTGCTGGGCCGCACAGTAGTTCCTGATACAGGAAACAACACCACTTTGGGCAGAACTCAATCAATTTTCGTGTTAAGTGAAAGTGCGCATAATTAGATTTTATTCTGTTTTTTTTTTTTTTAAATCTCTCTATTTCTTTACTGTTTCTCACATGTTGTACAGCATCACCGGTTTATCTATCTGTATCGCAGAAGCCCAAAGACTGACAGCGGGGCAGACTTTCACCAAGACCACCTCAGACTTCTTAGAATTGTTGCAGGTTTGGGAAGAAAGTGACCCATTGCCCTATCCTGAGAACTTAACATCAGATCTAGATTCCATCCTTAAAGCTCATCTGAAAACTCTAAGTTTCTTTACACTCTGAATTATTCCCGTTGTGAAAATGCACACACCCATTGCAATTACTCGGCCGAGTAGATATTGATCATGAAGCTGTTCCATCAGACGCTAGCAATAACTCAGCGATGTGCTAAAGTGAAGAGTTACTTTTAAATTGGCCTATGTGGGGTTGGGGAGACAGCTCAGTGGACAAAGTATTTGTCATGCAAGCATGAGAATGGGAATTCAGATCCTCAGTACCAATGTAGAAGCCAGGCAGGTATGGCAGTCACTTCTAGAACTCTGGAGGCTTAGAGACAAGAGATACCTGGGGTAGACTGGCTAGCTGTATAAGCTGGAATCAGTGATCTCAGTGTTTGCCAATATACCCTGCCTTAGCAGAATAAAGAGTGATCAAGGAAGATATCCAATGTCATCCATCGGGTCTCCACACATGTGAGCACACATGTGCATATGCATACATACTTGCTTGTGTACACACACATATGCCCCACATGTAAATATGCATACGCATGCATGTACAGCACACACTTGCACACGCAAAAAAAGTAACAAATATGTTCAAGGGAGACACAATGTTTTGCTAAATCTGTGAGTGTGCAAACTTTGGAACTACTGCTAATTCTGACATCTACTAGTGTTCAACGATATGGCCAAATATGTTCTACATTTTCATTTTAAAACTAAACAATGACAAAAATGTACAGTAAAATATATCTGTACTTTTTTAAATTAGATTTTTTTTCTGCGATTGTCTCGATAGCCCAAATCAATGAGTCTCATTTTTGGGTATGTGTGTGTTTACCAAATAGTAATGTGTTAAACAGATCGGTGTGGTTTCTGGACACCTCAGAGTGAACCTGTAATCTCTAAAAAGACTTGACAGTCCCAGAGATATCCATACCTTTGTGTGTGATTAACTGCTTTATACCTTTGCTACCATGGAAACAACATCCCTGCCATCATGAATTGTATCCTCAAACTGTGGGCCAAAATAATTCCTTCCTTCCTTAAATTGTTTTTATCAGTTATCTTCTCACAACAAGAAAAGTAAATAACACACTAATGAAATAGAATTTTTTTCTAAGAGTTTCTATAACTTTCATGTGTTACCCTTGAAAATTTATTTTTCTCTTATAGCTCTGTTTTTTTTTTATTTGACAAGTCACAATTGGCCATTCAGATGGTGAGGCTTTGTTCAAAGAATACATTGAAAAATTGTAGAAATACATTGCCCCCATTTCTTGGATCCATCCGGTGTTCATTTTAAAACTCACTTCTGCACCTGGCTTTCCTTGTTCTCGGCCACTGTGGGTCAGGTCCTTCTCATACTGATTGTCTATCTGTGTAGTCTATCTGTGTAGTCTATCTGTGTATGTCTATCTGTGTAGTCTATCTGTGTGTGTCTATCTGTGTAGTCTATCTGTGTGTGTCTATCTGTGTAGTCTATCTGTGTATGTCTATCTGTGTAGTCTATCTGTGTATGTCTATCTGTGTAGTCTATCTGTGTGTGTCTATCTGTGTAGTCTATCTGTGCAGTCTTCCCATTCTAGGCTATCTTCTATGCTATGGCCTCAGCCGTCCACTCCACCTACAGCCCCTGCTAGGCTGCAAAACAATCCTGCTCTCAAATGGATGGCTTAGCAGAGAGACTCCCTCTTGATGGCGGAGAAGAACTATAGAAAAATATTTTCTGGATTTTCAGGTAAGATGGAAGGGAGGGAGTTGCCTTTGTGTGACCCAGCGAAGGGAAACAGAGTAAGAAAAAGTAGAACCTGGTTCCAAGAAGAGGAAGAAAGATCTTTAGAAAGTCACAAATTTGATAGGGTACCTAAAAAGTTCAGAGAAAACTATGACAGACAATGAGGGGAAAATCTAAGCTGAACACAGCTCCAGCTGTTTCAGAGCATGGTGTAGCATGAATTCTAATTGTTCCTAATAAAAAGCCTGGAGTTAGATACTAGGGACTGAAAAGTGAGAGATCAGAGAAACAGTGCAGTCAGCCACTAGAGAGACCTTTTACCTCTATCAAGTCCTCAGACCACAGGGGCAATTCTGTCCTCAGACTTCACTGAGCTCCTGTCTCCTCCCACCTTATATTCCTCTCTCCATCCAGCCATATCCCTGCCTGTCTCCATCTCCCTAATGCTGGGATCAAAGGCCTGGGACTTCCAAGTATTGGGATTAAAGGTGTGAGCCACCACCACTCCTTGGCCTCTAGTGACTTAGCTCTGCACTCTGATCTTCAGGCAAGCTTTATTTGTTAAAACACAAACAAAATATCTCTACACCCTGGAGGGGGTGAGTGGAGGCAGAAGACTTCCTACAAGTGGTACTTATGGATTGAGCCCTTAAAAATAGAATGTATAACAACAACTCCTCACACTAAATTAGAAGAAGTGTCCAGATTAGTAGACACACAGATTGAATCACAGAAGCACAAGAAATATGAAAAACTTAGGTATCTTAGTTTATTTTCCTACTGTGATAACGTACTCTGACAGAAATAATTTGAGGGATGTATCAAGTATTGATTAACTTTTTTTTTTTTTTTTTTGGCCAACCCAGCACAACCTAGAGTCACCTGGGAAAGGGAAATCTCAATTTAAGAACCAATCCCCTCTACCAGATATATCTGTATTGGACATATCTGTGGAGGCATATTTCTAGACTGCTAATTGATTCACAAGGGCCCAGTCTACCATGGGAAGCACATCCCTAGGCTGGTGCTTCCGCTCTGCGTAATGAAGCTAGCTGAACATTAGCTAGCGAGAGAGCAAAGACAGAAAGCAGAATTCCTCCCTGGTTTCTGTTTTAGTTCCCGTCCTGACTTCCCTCCATGAGAGACTGTCTCCTGGAACTGTAAGGTTTTTCTCACCTAAGCTGCTTTTGGTCATGGTGTTTATCCTAGCAACAGAAGGACAACCTAGAAGAGGCGGGAAAGGGCTTATTTTACTTCACAGTTTGAGGGGATAGTACACCACCACACCGGAAGTCACGGTGGGAAGAACTTGAGGCAGCTAGTCAAACTATACCCACAGTAAAGCAGCAGAGACTGACAGATGAATATCTATGTATATGTAGCTCAGCTACCTCTGTCCTTTGCATTCAGTGTGCAGTCCAGCCCACAAAATGATGCCACTTGCATGCCGTTGTAACATGTAGGGTTTCCCGCATCAATGAACCCAATTAAAAAAAATCCCTCACAAACAGGATCAGAAACCTATCTCCTAGGCGATTTTGGATTTTGCCAACTTGATAATCAATACAACTGTTATGCATGACTCTTCCAAAAGATACCGTAATAGCAGAATTCCCATTGAAGACTAAGAATGATCAGTGGTTTTAAAGAGGATACGAGTGAGCAGATGAATTCAATCCATGATCTTTAGAGTAAAGCCAGAAACACAGAGGGGAAAAAAATTATGGAAATAGATGAGACAAAAGAAAAAGAAGTTACTGATGTGGAAGAAAAATTTATCACAGAAATTGAGATTTTTTTTGGACAAAAACTTAAGCACAAAGCACAAATGTTAGAAATGAAAAACTGAATGGGCCAAATTAAACACGCGAAGGAATACATCACCAATAGACTAGACACGGCAGGAGAGACAATCAGGGATGGGGAAAAGGTTAAGAAAATACGGCACGAAAATACCAGTGAAAGAAAGAAAGTCAAGTATCTCCAAACTCTGGAATATAATCCAGAGACCAAACCTAAGAACCCACGGGGAAAAAGGAACTGAGGGAAAGAATAAAGAAACACTCTTATAATGTTGTGATGAAACACCCACCCCAAGGCAGTTCATGTGTTTAATCTGGGACCTACAGTTCTAGAGGATTACAGTTTACGACTGTCATGGCAGAGAGCATGGCAATAGGCAGGCAGCTATGGTGCTGGAGCAGTAGCTGAGAGCTTTACTCTTCATCCACAAGCATGTGGCTTTTGGGCTGGAGAGATGGCTCAGCAGTTGAGAGTACTGCCTGCTCTTCCAAAGGTCCTGAGTTCAATTCCCAGCAACCACATGGTGGCTCACAACCATCAGTAATGAGATCTGGTGCCCTTTTCTGGCCTGCAGACATACATGCTGACAGATAC